GCTATATATTAGATTTAAACTAATACCTAAAGTATCAAAAACTTTTATACATCTTATACTAATATATACATATAAAAAGATAAGCTAACTAAGCTAATGGGCTCATACCCCACTTATAAAGGTTGCAATCCTTTTCTTTTTAATATTTAAATTTAATAAAATTATTTTTATAATTATACTAATTATAAGAAGTTTAATCTCAATCTCCGCTTATTCTTGGTTTTCTATATGATTAGGGTTAGAAATTAACCTTCTTACAGTTATTCCCTTATTTTTAAAAAAATCTAATAAATACCCCTCAGAATCAATAATAAAATATTTCTTTATCCAAGCTTTAGCCTCCACTTTAATTCTTTACAGAATCTTAATATCTTTTAACTTAAATTCTACTTTTATCAGTAAATTTTCAATTGTATTAAACTCAGCACTCCTAATAAAAATAGGAGCAGCACCCTTCCATTTTTGATTTCCAGAAATTATTGAAGGTTTAAACTGAAATAATACTCTAATTATTTTAACTTGACAAAAATTAGCCCCAATAATTATATTATCCTATAGGATGATAAATCCTACTTTCATCTGTTTTTCTATTATCTTTTCTTCTATTATTAGTGGAATCCAAGGATTAAATCAAATCAGATTACGAAAAATTATAGCTTATTCCTCCATCAATCATAATGGATGAATAATCTCAAATTTATTAGTTTCTTCAGATATATGATTATTCTATTTTATAATTTATACATTTATTTCAATAAACCTAATCTATGCTTTTAAACTATTTAAAATTAATATAATCCAACAACTAATAAATATTCTTAACTATAATAAATTAGTAAAAATTAGAATCCTTTTAAATTTCCTCTCACTAGGTGGTCTTCCGCCTTTTATTGGATTCCTTCCTAAATGATTAACTATTTATTTTATAACAGAAAAAACTTTCCTTTTTTTAACTAATATTCTTATTATCTGTACATTAATTGTACTCTATTTTTACTTACGCCTAATTTTATCAACTCTAACTTTTAAAATTAAAGAAAGTTTAATTTTCTCTTTTAAAAAAATAAATATTATTTTTCTATTTATTAACTCTATTAACTTTACAGGACTAATTTTAACCTCAATTTTTCCAATCTAACCAAGGATTTAAGTTAAAAAAACTATTGACCTTCAAAGTCAAAATTAAGATTATTCTTAAGCCTTAAAATTATAGTATTAGTAATACACCTTTAAATTTGCAATTTAAAATCCTTATAATAGACTATATAATTTGATAAAAGAATTAAACATTCGTTAATAAATTTACAATTTATCGCTTAATCTCAGCCATTTTACCGAATAAATGATTATTCTCTACTAACCACAAAGATATCGGAACATTATACTTTATTTTTGGAACATGATCAGGAATAGTAGGTACATCCTTAAGTTTGCTAATTCGGGCAGAACTAGGAAATCCTGGATCACTAATTGGAAATGACCAAATTTATAATACTATTGTCACAGCACATGCATTCATTATAATTTTCTTTATAGTAATACCAATTATAATTGGAGGATTTGGAAACTGATTAATCCCATTAATATTAGGAGCCCCAGATATAGCATTCCCCCGTTTAAATAATATAAGATTTTGATTACTTCCACCCTCCTTAACTCTTTTACTAATAAGAAGATTTATTGAAAAGGGAGCAGGAACAGGATGAACCGTCTACCCCCCGCTCTCATCCAATATTGCCCATGAAGGAGCTTCTGTTGATCTGGCCATTTTCAGTTTACATATAGCAGGAATTTCATCTATTCTAGGAGCTATTAATTTTATTACAACAGCCTATAATATACGACCCTCAGGAATATTATCTGAACGAATAACCCTATTTATTTGAGCAGTAAGAATCACTGCTATTCTCCTCCTCTTTAGATTACCTGTATTAGCAGGAGCAATCACTATACTTCTTACTGATCGAAATATTAATACTTCCTTTTTTGATCCTGCCGGAGGAGGAGACCCAATTCTCTATCAACATTTATTTTGATTTTTTGGTCACCCAGAAGTTTATATTTTAATTCTTCCAGGATTTGGAATAATCTCCCACATTATTAGATATGAAAGAGGAAAAAAAGAAACTTTCGGAGTTTTAGGTATAATCTATGCAATAATTGCAATTGGCTTATTAGGATTCGTAGTATGAGCTCACCATATATTTACAGTAGGAATAGATGTAGACACCCGAGCATATTTTACATCAGCTACTATAATTATTGCTGTTCCAACTGGAATTAAAATCTTTAGATGATTAGCAACCTTTCATGGAGCACGAATTACATACTCACCCACGTCTCTATGATCCTTAGGGTTTATTTTCCTCTTTACAATTGGAGGATTAACCGGAGTAGTTTTAGCTAATTCATCAATTGATATTATCTTACATGATACATATTATGTTGTAGCTCATTTTCATTATGTTCTTTCAATAGGAGCTGTTTTTGCAATTATTGCAGGATTTATTCACTGATTTCCTCTATTTACTGGCCTAACTTTAAATAAAAAATTTTTAAAAACCCAATTTTTTATTATATTTATAGGAGTAAATTTAACTTTTTTTCCTCAACATTTTCTAGGCCTTAGAGGAATACCACGACGATACTCAGATTATCCTGACGCCTATACAGTTTGAAATATAATTTCTTCAATTGGTAGAATAATCTCATTAACAAGAATTATTTACTTTATTTTTATTATTTGAGAAGCTTTTTCAGTTCAACGAAATTCTCTTTCTAATAATAATCTTGCCTCTAATCTCGAATGAATACAGTTTTTACCTCCAGCCGAACATAACTTTTTAGAACTTCCTTATGTAACAAATTAACCTCTAATATGGCAGAATAGTGCATTGGTCTTAAACTCCAAATATAAAGTTTAATCTTTTTTTAGAAATTTCAACATGAAAAACTCTTTTTCTTCAAGATAGAGCCTCACCTTTAATAGAACATCTTACATTATTTCATGACCATACTATTTTAATCTTAATTTTAATTACAATTTTAGTTAGACAAATACTATTAAGAATATTATTAAATAAACTCTCACACCGATTTTTACTTGAAGGTCAATTAATTGAAACTATTTGAACTATTCTACCTGCTATTATTCTTATTTTAATTGCCTTACCCTCACTTCGATTATTATACATTCTAGACGAAATTAATAACCCTTCTATTACTATTAAAATTATCGGACATCAATGATATTGATCATATGAATATTCTGATTATAAAAATATTGAATTTGATTCCTATATAATTCCTACCAAAGAACTTAACTCTTTTAATTTTCGTCTCCTAGAAGTAGATAATCGAACTCCTTTTCCTTATAAAACTCAAATTCGACTCTTAGTTACGTCTGCAGATGTAATTCATTCTTGGACAGTACCAAGTATAGGAATTAAAATTGATAGAACCCCAGGACGCTTAAATCAAGCCAATTTAATTGCTAATCGTTCAAGAATCTTTTTTGGCCAATGTTCTGAAATTTGCGGAGCAAACCATAGATTTATACCTATCATTTTAGAAAGAATTAAACCCAATTTATTTTTAAACTGAATTATTTCCAAAACTTAATCATTAGATGGCCGAATGCAAGCTTTGGTCTTTTAAACCAATTAATAGTAATCTAGCAATTACTTCTAATGAAAAATTTAGTTAAACTATAACGTTAGCTTGTCAAGCTAAAATTATTAATTAATTAATAATTTTTAATTCCTCAAATAGCACCAATAAATTGATCCTTACTTTTTATTTATTTTATTATAATTTTCATATACTCAATTATCTTAAATTATTTTAGAATTATCTATATCAAACCTCCTCAAAAAATTTATAACAAAATACCCCTATTAAATTGAAAATGATAGCTAACCTATTTTCTTCCTTTGACCCATCAACTAATTTTAACTCAACTTTAAACTGAATAAGAACATTACTTATTTTCCTCTTCATTCCCCCTACTTATTGATTAATTCCATCTCGATGAAACTTTATCTGAATTTTAATCATTAATACTTTACATAAAGAATTCAAAGTTCTCTTAAAAGAAAATTCCTCTAAAGGAAGATCTCTAATTTTTACTTCTCTTTTCAGATTAATTTTATTCAATAATTTTCTAGGTCTTTTTCCGTATATCTTTACTGCAACTAGCCACCTAACTTTAACTTTAACCCTTAGTTTACCATTATGATTAAGCTTTATAATTTATAATATAATTTTTAATTTTATAAATATATTAGCCCATCTTGCCCCCCAAGGAGCTCCTCAAATTCTTCTACCATTTTTAGTAATTATTGAAACTATCAGAAATATTATTCGACCGAGAACATTAGCTATTCGATTATCAGCAAATATAATTGCTGGCCATTTATTAATTACTTTATTAAGAAATTCAGGTTCAATAATTAATATCCCTATTTTAAGAATTTTAATTTTAGCTCAAATCTTACTTCTAATTTTAGAAACTGCTGTATCAATTATTCAAGCCTATGTATTTTCAATTTTAATGACTTTATACTCAAGAGAAAATTAAATGTTAAATAATAAAAAAAATCACCCCTTCCACCTAGTAGATTATAGCCCATGACCTTTAATAAGTTCATTAGGATTATTTACCACAATAATAGGTTTAATTAAATGATTCCACTTACATGAAAAAAACTTACTATTATTTAGATTAATTATTAATAGTTTAATTATATATCAATGATGACGAGATATTATTCGAGAGGGAACCTTCCAAGGATTACATACTTTAAAAGTAACTATAGGTCTTCGTTGAGGAATAATTTTATTCATTACATCAGAAGTATTTTTTTTTCTTGGATTTTTTTGAAGATTCTTTCATGCTAGATTATCCCCAAGAATTGAAATTGGTTTAGAATGACCTCCTAAGGGAATTTTTACCTTTAATCCCCTAGAAATTCCACTATTAAATACCTTAATTCTTATTTCATCAGGTTTAACTATTTCATGATCACACCATGCAATTATAGAAAATAATTATACCCAATCCTTTCAAAGCCTTTTAATTACTGTAATTTTAGGTTTATATTTTTCCTTTCTTCAAAGATATGAATATTACCAAGCCCCATTCTCTATTAGAGATAGAATTTATGGATCAACCTTTTATATAACTACTGGCTTACATGGACTTCACGTATTAATCGGAACAAGCTTTTTATTAATCTGTTTAATCCGACTTTACTTCAATCATTTTTCAACCTCCCACCACTTCGGATTTGAGGCAGCCGCCTGATATTGACACTTTGTAGATGTAGTATGACTATTCCTTTATCTTTCTATTTACTGATGAGGAAGATAATTTAACCTAATTTATATAATATAAAAATTATAATTGACTTCCAATCAAAAAATCTAGTTTCTAGTATAAATAATAAAACTAATCATAATAAATTCTTCTATAATCTTCATAATCCTAACAATTATAATCTTAATATTAAACTTAATTTCTAAAAAAACATCAACTGACCGTGAAAAATCAAGCCCATTTGAATGTGGATTTGACCCTAAATCATCCTCACGACTACCATTTTCTCTTCATTTCTTTTTAATTGCTATTATTTTCTTAATTTTTGATGTTGAATTAACTATTCTACTTCCTATAATTACTTCAGTAAAATCCTCTAATATAATTATATTTTCAATCTTCAATTGTTTCTTTATTTTAATTTTAATCTTTGGATTAATCCATGAATGAAAAGAAGGAGCATTAAAATGAATTAACTAGGATAATAGTTAAAAATAACGTTTAATTTGCATTTAAAAAGTACTGATTAAAACAGTTTATCTTTATTGAGAAGTAATTTTTACATTTAGTTTCGACCTAAAAATTTGACTGATATCAGTCCTCAATTTAATTGAAACCAAAAAGAGGTATATCACTGTTAATGATAAAAATGAGTAATTTCTCCAATTAATGAAATAAGTAATTCAAGAAAAAGCTTCTAACTTTTATCTTAAGCAGTGAAACTCTGTTTTTATTTCTTATTTATATAGTTTAAAAAAAACTTTACATTTTCACTGTAAATTTAGAGACTCTCTCTTATAAATTACTTAAAAATAATTCTATTTCCTTAGTATTTTCACTACTAAACTCTAATATAAGCTATTTAAGTATCAACAAAAAAAAAAAAAAAAAATCAAACAACTGAGATTAAACAATAAATTTTTAAATGATTTTTAGAAAGTAATTGAAAAAACTTTCTACTATAGGTAAAGCTCTCTAATAATTTCTGACTACCATAATACTCAAGCCATCCTTGATCAAAAGAAGTATATAATTTCTTTCCTACAGATAAAGGATAAAGATTTATTGATAAAGAAATAAGAGGTAAATTCCATATATTAGAATTAAATCTCCTTAAATTGTAATTTTTTAATGATAAAAGTTCATACCTTAACCCAAATTTTGAAGTCTCACATCCAATTCAAATCCCAAAAAAAATTAACCATAAAATTAAGATTTTCATCTTAAAGGGTAAATAAATAAATATAGGAATTGGAAAAATTAATCATCTTAAAATTGTCCCTCTAAAAATAACTAGAGAAATTAAAATTCCTATTCTTTTTAATATTACTTCTCTTTTATCGCCAATTGAATTCAATCTAATAAAATTAAAATCCATGAAAAAAGTATATATTAATAACCGAAATCTATAGCATACTGTTAAACCTATAGATAAGTAGAAAATAATATATACATATATATTCATATTTAATATAGAAAAGCTTTCAATAATTAAATCTTTCGAATAAAATCCTGATAAAAAGGGAAGACCACATAAAGATAAATTACAAATATTAAAATAAACTCTGGTAAGAGGTATTAACTTGGAAACTCCCCCTATAAATCGAATATCTTGACAATTATTAAAATTATGAATAATTCTCCCAGCACATATAAATAATAATGCTTTAAATAAAGCATGAATTAACAAATGAAAAAAAGCTAAATCATATCTACCTAATGCCAAAGTTCTAATCATTATTCCTAATTGACTTAAAGTAGAAAGAGCAATAATTTTCTTTAAATCAAATTCAAAATTAGCCCCTAATCCAGATATAAATATAGTTAACAATGAGAAAATTAAAATAACTTTTATTGTATTTTCTGAAAAACCTGTAGAAAACCGAATTAATAAGTAAACTCCAGCAGTAACCAAAGTAGAAGAGTGAACTAAAGAAGAAACAGGTGTTGGAGCTGCTATTGCAGCTGGAAGCCAAGAAGAAAATGGGATTTGTGCCCTCTTTGTAAAAGCTGCGATTATAATAAAAATTAGTGTTAAACCCATATTCTCTTTTAAATTATAAAACTCTAAGAATCTACTAAAGTTTCAACTTCCATATTCTAAAAATAAAGAAATAGATATCAATAAGGCTACATCCCCAATTCGATTAGTTAAAGCAGTTAATAAACCTGCATTGAATGATTTAAAATTTTGATAATAAATAACTAAAATATAAGAAATTAGCCCTAATCCGTCTCAACCTAATAAAATAGAAACTAAATTGGGAGATAAAATTATTATTATTATAGAAATCACAAATAAAATAATTAAATAAATAAAACGACTAATATACATTTCATCTTTTATATATTCACTTCTGTAAAAAATTACTATTGATGAAATAAATAAGACAAATCTTATGAATAAAGTAGATATTCAGTCAATAAAGATTAAAAAATTTACTGTAAAATTTCTCAAATTTAATAAATAAAACTCAATAATAAGTCTTTTCTCAGAAATAATCAAGAAAAGACTAATCAAAAACAAATTAAATGATAAAAACCTAAAAAAAGAAAAATAAATCTTACAAGTTTTATTTAAAATTACTTAAAATAAAATTTTATATCTTTAATTCCACAAATTAATATTTTAATTTAAACTATTTAAGTAAATTCATACTCTAAAAATTTCACCCTTAAAAATTAAAAAGTTTAGGGGAATTCAATGAAGAACTAGTAATAAAAACTCACGATTTGAAATATAAGTAAATGAATAAATTCCAGAACTAAATAAACCATGCTGAGTATAAGAATATAAAAATAAAGAATAGCAGGCACTAAAAAAAGAAAAAAGAGCTAATATAATTATTGTTAACTTTCTATAAATAATTAATCTATTAATTAAAAGGACTTCCCCCAACAAATTTAATGAAGGAGGAGCGGCTATATTTCTAATACAAAATAAAAACCATCATATAGATAATGTTGGCATAAAATTCATTAAACCCTTATTTAAATACAAACTTCGTCTATTTAAACGTTCATAAGAAATATTAGCTAAACAAAAAAGACCAGATGAACATAACCCATGTCCTAATATTAAAACTAATCTACCCCACATGCCCATTAAATTTAAAGTTAATAAACCCCTTAATACTAAGCCTATATGAGAAACAGAAGAATAAGCAATTAATAATTTAATATCTCTTTGTTGAAGACAAATTAAAGATATATAAACTCTACCAATTAAAGAAATAGTAATAAAAATAAAATTAATCTTTAAACCTATGTTTAAAAATATTTTTATTACTCGAAATAAACCATATCCCCCTAACTTTAATATCACACCTGCTAAAATTATTGAACCTGAAATAGGAGCCTCAACATGGGCTTTGGGTAGCCATAAATGAATTAAATATATAGGTATTTTAACAAAAAAAACTATATTAATACATAAATAAAATAAAAAATTATCTAAATTTAGTGATAAAAAATAAAAATCCAATCTATTGACACTTTTAAAAATAAAAAAAATTCCTACTATTATTGGTAAAGAAGCTAATAAAGTATAAAATAAAAGATATTTTCCTGCCCTAATTCGCTCTGGTTGATACCCTCAACCAATAATAAGAAAAAATGTAGGAATTAGACTAATCTCAAAAAATAAATAAAAAATAAAAAAATTCAATGAAGAAAATACTATAAATAGACTAAATATTAAAAATAAAATATTAAATATAAATAATTCATAATAATCTTTTTTCTTAAAAATTTTTGCTCTTGCTAATAATATTAATGAGCAAATTCAAAATCTTAATATTACTATAGAATAAGATAATAAATCCAATCCAAAATTATACGATAAAAACCTATAATCCTTCCTAATATTAAATATAAAAATAAATAAAAATCTTAAATAAAATAAAAATAAACTTAAATATCAGTACCTGAAAAAACATAAAGGAGTTAAAAATACTATTATAAATAAAAATTTTATCATAAAGAAGAAAAAGATAGTACATAATCATTCCCATGATTACGAATTATAAAAACTAAAATAGATAATCCCAATACTCTTTCACAAACTCTTATTGTTAAAAAAATTATACAAAAAAAGTAATCAAAATTAATCATTAAATTATAAAAAATTAATAAAAATAATGATACCACAATATATTCTAAACTTAATAATATTAAAAGTAAATGTTTTCGCTCAATAATAAAAGTAAATAAACCTGAAAGATAGAGAAATCTACCAAAAAAAATATTTAACATTAAAGTTTTAATAATTTAAATAAAATATTGATCTTGTAAATCAAAAATAAGAGCATTCTTTTAAAACTTCAGAAAAGAGAAATTCTCCCTACTTTAATTTCCAAAATTAAAATTTTAATATAAACTATTTTCTGATATATTAATAAAAATTTTTATAATAAGATGTATTTGAAGATTTATATTTATTTTTCTCTCTCATCCTTTATCAATAGGATTAATGATTTTCCTTCAAACCTTATGCATTTCTTTTATAACAGGATTTATATACAAAAATTTTTGATTTTCATATATTTTATTCTTGATTATAATTGGAGGTATACTAGTTTTATTTATTTACATAACAAGAATTGCATCAAATGAAAAATTTAAAATTTCAAACTTCTTATTACTTTTATTCATTATAATGATCTTAATCTTAATATTACCAATTAATGAATTCATATCTAATATCTTAAATAAAAATTATAGAACCTTTATCCAATTTAACTTCAGAACAATAAATTTTATAAATAAATACCTTACTTACCCAAATATTTTATTAATAAGATTATTAGTAATCTATCTACTAATTACTTTAATTATAGTAACTAAAATCTCTAATTTTAAACTTGGCCCATTCCGTCAAAAATTTTAATGTTAAAATTTATTAAAAAAAACCCTTTAATAAAAATTTTAATTTCTACTTTTATTAACCTCCCAACTCCATCAAATATCTCAACATTATGAAATTTTGGTAGCTTATTAGGATTATGTTTAATAATCCAAATTATTACAGGAATTTTTTTAGCAATACACTACTGTCCCAGAACTACCTTAGCATTCAATAGAATTATCCATATTTGTCGAGATGTAAATTTTGGATGATTAATTCGAACACTACATGCTAATGGGGCTTCATTTTTTTTTATTTGTTTATATATTCATATTGGTCGAGGAATTTATTATAGATCCTATAATTTAAAAGAAACTTGATTAACCGGAGTAACTATTTTCTTTTTCACTATAGCTACTGCCTTTCTAGGATATGTATTACCTTGAGGGCAAATATCATTCTGAGGTGCTACCGTAATTACTAATCTTCTTTCTGCTATTCCCTACTTAGGAAATTCTATTGTACAATGAATCTGAGGGGGCTTCGCAGTAGAAAATGCTACTCTAAACCGATTCTTTACATTTCATTTCCTTTTACCTTTTATTATTACTGCCTTAGTAATAATTCATTTATTTTTCCTTCATCAAACTGGTTCAAACAATCCCTTAGGATTGAATAGAAATATTGATAAAGTTCCTTTTTATCCTTATTTTATCTTAAAAGATTTAGTTGGATTCCTTATTATAATAATAGCTTTAACTTTACTATCTTTAACAAACCCCTATCTTTTAAGTGACCCAGATAATTTTATTCCTGCTAATCCTCTAGTTACCCCCGCTCATATTCAACCTGAATGATATTTTCTTTTTGCTTATGCTATTCTTCGCTCAATCCCTAATAAATTAGGGGGCGTATTAGCCCTAATTCTTAGAATTAGTATCTTATACATTATACCTTTTATTAATAAAAAAAAATTCTTAAGAACAAGATTTTATCCAATAAATAAATATTTATTTTGAAGATTCTTTACTACCATCATCCTCTTAACTTGAATTGGAGCTCGACCTGTTGAAGACCCTTTTATTTTTACAGGACAAATACTAACTATTATATACTTCATCTATTACATTATAAACCCATTAACTCATAAAATTTGAGATAAAATTATTTTTTTTCATTAATTAATGAACTTGAATAAGTGTATACCTTGAAAGTATAAAAAAGAAATATCTTAACTTTCTATTAATTTATTTTGGTACTAAATTAATTTCACTAAATAAAAAAATTATTAATAATTAAAATATTTAATACTAACCCTAGCCTAAATAAAAAAAAATTCAAAGATACAATTAAATAACTTTTTCAAGCTAAATTTATTAATTTATCATATCGATATCGAGGTAAAGTCCCACGAACTCAAACTCAAAAAAACCTTAAATACCTTAATTTTAAAAAAAAAGTTAAATTATTTAAATTTCCTCCTATAAATATAAACCTTCTAAGTATTCTTATAAATAAAATATTCGAATATTCAGCTAAAAAAATTATTGCAAAACCCCCACTTCTGTACTCAACATTAAATCCTGATACTAATTCAGATTCACCTTCAGCAAAATCAAATGGAGTACGATTAGTTTCTGCTAAACATGTTACTATTCATATAATTACTAAAGGAAAATCCAAGAAAAAAAATCAAACAAATTCTTGATACTTTAATATATCAAAAATATCAAATCTATAAATTAAAAATAAAAATCTTATTAAAATCAAAACTAACCTAACTTCGTAAGAAATAGTTTGAGCTACTGAACGTAATCTCCCTAATAGAGCATAATTTGAATTAGAAGATCAACCAGCTATCATTATCCCGTAAACCCCTAATCTTGATACACTTAAAAAAAAAAGAAAAGAATAATTAAAACTAAAATTAAAAGAATAAAAAGGTATAGAAACCCATAATAATAATGAAAAAAATAGTCTTATAATTGGAGATATATAATATAAATTAATATTAGAATATATTGGAAAAATTTGCTCCTTAGAAAATAATTTAATTGCATCTCTAAAAGGCTGTAATAATCCAATAAAACCCAATTTATTAGGGCCTTTTCGAATCTGAATATATCTTAAAACTTTCCGCTCTATTAAAGTCAGAAATCCAACCCCAACTAAAACACAAATTACTAATACTAAAAATATCAACAACCTTAAAAGATAATCTTTAAATATCAAGTATTATTTGTAAATAAATTACATAAAAAGATTCTAAATCTAACGCACTATTCTGCCAAAATAATATTAATTTTATTCATATAAAAATTTTAAATTAAATAAAAGGTCCTTTCGTACTAAGATATTTACTTTTTCTAAAGATAGAAACCAACCTGGCTCACGCCGGTTTAAACTCAGATCATGTAAAATTTTAAAGGTCGAACAGACCTAATTTTTTTAGCTTCTACACCAAAAATTTATTTTAATCCAACATCGAGGTCGCAATCTTTTTTTTCGATTTGAACTCTCAAAAAAAATAACGCTGTTATCCCTAAGGTAATTTTATCTTTTAATCTTAAAGTAAGGATCAAAAACTCATAAATTAATGTAATATAAATAAAAAAAGTTTAACAAATTTTTCAATCACCCCAATTAAATAAATTAAATATAAATTATTTTAAATCCTAAAAATTCCTTATAATAAATTTATAAAACTCTATAGGGTCTTCTCGTCTTTTAGAAAAATTTAAGCTTTTTTACTTAAAAATAAAATTCAATTAAATTTAAATAGAGACAGTCATTTTTTCATGCAACCTTTCATTCCAGCTTTCAATTAAAAAACTAATGATTATGCTACCTTTGTACGGTCAAAATACCGCAGCCATTTAAATTTTATCATTGGGCAGGTTAGACTTTAAATTATAATCAAAAAGACATGTTTTTAATAAACAGGTGAAAAATATTTTGCCGAGTTCCTTTATTTAACCTTTCAATATTTAATAATTTAAACTCTTAATTTTACTAATTTTATCATTATTACTACTTTTTAATTATTAAAAAGAAAATTTTAATAAAAAACTTAAAATTTAAATACAAATTATATTTTTATATTAATTAGTTATAAAACACTATTTAAAAATAAAAACTTCTAATCCTATTTATTAATAAAATTAAATAAATTTTTAAAATTTTATTTTAAAGCTCATCCCCTAAAATATTTACTTATTCAAACATAAACTTAAAAATTAAAACTTATATTTAAAATAAACTAAATTAAATTTATTTCTTAAAAAACTAGATATATTTAAGATCGAATAGCATTTCACTTCAATAATTATATTACTAATATTTATTCCACAATAAAAATTATATAATTATAGCTCTCTTAAATTCGAGAAAATAAATATCCATTAACTTTATTTAATAAACCCTGATACACAAGGTACAAAAAATTAACTCTTCTTATAAAATTTTGATTAAATTTCTTTCACAATACTAATAAACTATAATTATATTAAATTTATTCTTCACAAATAATTAAACTTTAATTTACTCATATTAATTTAAATTAAACTAAATATTCTAATAATTACTTCAAAATCAAATTATATTGTTTAACACAATAAACTTTTTAATGTAACTAAAATGCTTTTTAAAGCTTTAACTTGCCATTCCAGGTACACTTTCCAGTACACCTACTATGTTACGACTTATTCCACTTTAGAGTGAAAGTGACGGGCGATATGTACATACTCTAGAGCCTAAATCATCTTAATAAACTAATTAATATTACCCTCAAATCCAATTTACTATTATTTTTAAAATAACAGCTCAATAAATAAAATTAAAGTAACCCATCTCTCCTTACCTATAAACTACATCTTGACCTGAACTACTTTTACAAATAAAATCTTAAATATTAAAATTCTTTCAAAAAATTCTAAAACGGCGATATATAAACTAATTAAAATAAGTACATTAAATCGTGGTATATCAATTATAGGACAGGTTCCTCTGAATGGACTAAAGAACCGCCAAATCTATTTATTTTCAAGAACATAACTACTACTAATAAAGCATTCTAATTTTAACACTCAAAATAATAGGGTATCTAATCCTAGTCTAAAATTTGAATTTCTTAATTTTAAAAACTAATCACAGATTTATATTAATTTAAAAATTCTACTTAATAAATCAAACTTTAAATCTAAATTAATAATATTAATTAAAACCAATAAAATTTTAGTTGCATTATCTGTTTAACCGCGATTGCTGGCACAAATTTGACCAATACTAAATTTAATTACTAAATCTTAGTTTCCTAAATTTTTAATCTTATTTATTGCTAGATAAAATAATTAACTTATTTAAAATTAATTTTTTTTAATACTTAAATTAGCATATAATATAATCAATTACTAAAATTTCAAACCTAAATAAAATTTTTTACCAAAAAAACTAGATTATAAAAATAACATGTTTAGTATAAGGAGAAATTAATACATAAAGAAATTAATATATAAAATCCTAAATTTTAAAAAATCTCCTATACACAACACCAATCTATTTATAATTTAAGACCAACTTACCTGTAATTTTCTTTACAAACTTTAAAATTTATAATTTTAGACTAATTACTTAAATTTTCACACAATATTAAAATATTTCAAAAATATATTTGAAAGTTTTCACATCCTTATTCTGCTAATTTACTTAATACTAAAATTTTAAAAATATAGAAAAATTTAAAACTTTAATTTAAAATTATATTTCCAATTTTAACTTAGAGAAAAAAGAGCTGAAATTTGACTATTTTATAATTCCCATGAAAAAAAGCGGTTTCCTCCCTATCAAAAACAGAAATATTTCATTGATACATTTATTAATAAATATACCATTGAACCTTTAATAAGTAATTACCTTATTTAAATAGGATTTTCCCATTATCCCAATTAAATATGATTAAAATTACAAATTCTGCTTACTTTTTTTTATCTAAAAATACCACTCACCCAATGATATTAAAGACCTTTCTTAACTAACCGTTAACAACCCAAAAAATCTCCCCAAATCAATTATTCGCCGCCTAAAAATTGATTGATTGAGTTTTTCAAGTAAACTCATTTTTGACCCCCCAAAATTATGAAAATTTTTAACAAAATCACCCTATTTTGTACAAAATTTTCAAAATTCCTGAAAAATAGTCATAAACTACATAAAATTCCCCAAATAAAAATTTTTATTCATTAATTTTACCCAAAAATTAACTACTAATAAAAATATCATATAAATTTCCAAACCCCTAAAATTTATAAATTTTGAAGAAATTTAAATTATCTTAATTTTACCTAGTAACATTACTTTAGAAATTTCATAGAATAATAAAAAAATAGAGAAAAAATCTAGTATCTTAAAAACCCCATCTAATAAATTTACTAAAAACACTAAAATTAAGATTAAATTACTAAAAAAATCTCATGAAAAATTAAAATTTTAACTATCTAAAACCCAACATTAAATCTTAAAAAGGAAATTTCATACAAAAAATATTTCACCCTAAAATATCTTTATATGAAAAAACTAAAGAAAAATATCTTAAATTTTTAAAATTTAGCTGAAAAATCAGTAGAAAATTTTTGTCTATTTTTCAGGAATATAGAAAAATTTTGAAATTTAAAATTTGATTGTATGAAAACTTCAAAGAAATTTTCTCTAAACGGGAAATTACTAACAATAATTAAAAAGTTTCACTTCCTAAAACCTCTCGAATTCTTTAAATTTTAAGCACTGTTTAAAAACTCCCATGAAAGTAAAATTTTAAAAATCGACCCAAAATTTTTAAAATTATTTGAAAAATCCCAATCAATCAATTTTAAATTTGATTGAAATTTTCTGCTTTAAATTTGATTAAATTTAGACCTTTTTTAAAAATTTACCCTGAAAAACTTAAAGAAAAAGTAAAAATTCACCAAATTTACTCAAAACAATAGCTGAAAAAATTAAAATAAAGCAAAAATTTTTATAAACCCCCCAAAAACAATAGCAGAAAATTTCAATCAAATTTTTTGAAACCCCAAAAATTTAGGGATTTCTGACTTATATGAAAACCCCCAAACCCCTGAAAAATCACTTTTTCAAAATTTCCAAAAAAATGAAAAAAAAAATCAGGGAATTTTCGGCGCCTCAAAAATTTTCTACTGATTTTTCAAATAGTTTTTTTTACCCCCTAAAATTTCCGGATTTTTCAGAAATTTTGACATTTTTTTTCAAAAATTTTCAATTTTTTCAAAAATTTTGTCATTTTTTAGTCTCTAAGGGTTTTTCATACAAACTCTTAAAGCCAAAATTTCATACAATGCACTTTTTTTACTTTTTTTTTATCAAAAAAAACCTAATTATTAAATAACATTCTTACTGTATAAGTCAAATAAAGATTAAATTTTTCAGGTATTTATTAGACTTTTAATATTAAAATTTAAATTTTTACCTTAAAATTTAAAAGCTTTAATCAAATTTTAAATCTTAATTTTAATTTTTCATGGGATTATTAATAGAATAAATTTTTTTTTTTTTTTTTTTCAATATTGTCTCCTTCTATATAAAAATTTAACATATTTATAATTTACATATAATTTTATATATATATATTTATATAACTATTAGTATACATAAACTATTTATTATAAAAGAATATATAATGGTTTATAGATATATTAAATGTTTATATATATATATTTAATATATTATATATATATGTAACGACAGTATAAATCAATTACTATTTATTAATTTATAACTAATTAAAAATTAATACCCGTATCCCCATTTTTAAAGATTTTCCCTATTTTTTTTTTTCTCTGGATCCATCAAAAATACTTAAAGTATACTGCATAGAATTATATTCATATAAAACACTTATAGTTAATAATGATAGTGTTAAAATTATAGTTAAATTAAATACTTTTATAAATTATAGACTATTATTATTAAGAAATCTATAGTTTAAATATATTAATTAAATTTTTTGTTAAATATATTCCTTTAATTTTTATTAAGGTGCACGTATACCCCAGTCAGAATCGATCCCTAATGAAACAACTACATGGGAATTTTCAGCTAGAACATTAAAATTACCCCCTAAAACCACCCTCAGAACCGGTGAAAAAAAAATCAAAAAAAATCACCAATTTTCAAAAAAATCGTGATTTTTGGGGGGTGTTGTATGTTATACAAACACTTAAAAATTTTTAAGATAAAAAAGACCCCCTCACCATTAGGGTGCCTGAAAAAAGGATTATTTCGATAAAATAAACCATGCAATTTAGTCTTGCCCCTAATCTCATTATACTAAAATTTCTCAAATTCTTCTAATTTTAGCCCATTAATTCCAACATTCTAAAAGTTTTTTCTTCCTTAATAATCCCATGAAAAGCTTTCAATATCTGTAT